ATGTACCTTTAAGTTTCATAAACAATTTGTGTGAGGACGCGCACAGCGTCAGTTTTTTTTTTTTTTTTTTTTTTTTTTGTATAATTTTTTTAATATTAAAATTATGTCTTCTTTCATTAAAATTTAAGTTCATAGTAATAGCATAGTTTTTTTTATTAAAATAAACTTAACCCAAGCCCTTTTCGTGAAAGTTTCCTGTCCATATTTTATTCTGCTGGAATTTTATATCATTGTCATGTAGTCATTTAGGTAGGGAAACAATAATGATGGTCTAACGATTTGCATTGAAATACTAGGGTTATATTAAATTGAATTGCGATCTTTTCTAATCTCTGTGTTCAAAGCCCACGAATGCAAAGATCCGGATCACTAATTTAAAATCATGCAGTCCCTTTTTATGCATCATACTGTCTCACCTCACACATATTAGGATCCTGATCTCTCTCTCTCCTGCATCTTTGAACGAACCAGATTTTTGGGTCCACGGGATCTGGACTTGGAGATCTGAAGAGGATCTTGATTCTATTAAATTGGCCTAATTGGATTACAGTCAGGAACCTCACTATCCGGTGGTAGTACTTTTGTTAATGAAACAGATCTCGTGAGTCATGACACTGCTAAACTTCAAGAGAAGAATAATTCGAGATCGTCTTTGAATCATGAGCTCATGGAATGATTAATTCACCTGAGAAACTATTAGTGTATGTGTGTTTAGTGTGTATTTCAATGGAGGTTTTTCTGCAACCTTTGAAAATGGCAGAGAATGTAGAGAGAATTTTAGAGAGAAGATGATGGAATATATTTCTAATTTTTCACACTCTACTAACATGTGTGTGTTTGTTACCGTTATACATGGAAAGGAAAGGAGATCTTTCACTCACCAAACCAAGATACAATCTTAACCCTTAATTGCTATCACCCTATGAGATGATGCCACTTGTCTTAATCTATTACTTAAGCTAGTTATAATAAATATATATATATATATATATATTAAATTAACTATAAAATTTATAATAATTATAATAATTATATATACTATAATAATTATACCCCCAAAATATTAAGTCTATCTATAATAATTATATATATATATATATATATATATTAAATTTTATAAAAACTATAATAATTATTAATTAATAATTTAATATGCATGATGCATTGCATGATTTTGCATCCATTGAAATTTGATGTGATTTCTTTCCATTTAAATTTCAATAATCAATTTCTTGCCGTTGCCAACTTGCCGCCCTTTTTGAAAAAAAAAATGGAGGGAAAATGAAAATGTTAAGAAAAGTTGAAAATGAAACAAAAAAGTGAGGGAATTAGGGAAAGATGTTGGAGGGAAAAGTGAAAATGATAAGAAAACAATTGAAAAGGAAACAAAAAAGAGAGGGAAAAATGAAAATTAATAGAAGTGGTGAGAATTTTTTTTTTTTTTTTTTTTAAGTTATTAACTTTTTATCACACACATGACTGTCATAACATATCTCACTATTTTTATAATGACACACGTGACACGTGATGTATGTACTATTCCGTGTACCAGTCAATTATAATTTATACGTACAAAATAAATAGATTTAAATCTACTTAATAAATATATATATACACACACACACACACGGAACTTGATTGATGGCATACAAATTCTCCAAAACTAATTTCAACGATCCAAACCGTCAAAATTGTTTGTATATGCTTGGAGATCACATCAGCAAAAAATCACAAAAAAAAAAATTCAGAGATCAAGTAACGGGACAAAGCTTTTCAACGGTTATGAACGAAAAATCACGATTTAACGGTTATTTTAACTCCGATTTTGATGATTTTTTATAACTACACTCCTTGACCCTATATGAATACAATGAATGAATTCGATCTTCAATTTAAAATATTTACACAAGTGGATACCACAAAATCTTATGTTATACTTAATGAAAGTATAAATAAACTCTAAGTGTTAGTCAATCTATCGTTTTACGAATTCTCCAAAACTAATTTCAACGATCCAAACCGTCAAAATTGTTTGTATATGCTTGGAGATCACATCAGCAAAAAATCACAAAAAAAAAACATTCAGAGATCAAGTAACGAGACAAAGCTTTTCAACGGTTATAAACGAAAAATCACGATTTAACGGTTATTTTAACTCCGATTTTGATGATTTTTTATAACTACATTCCTTGACCCTATATGAATACAATGAATGAATTCGATCTTCAATATAAAATATTTACACAAGTGGATACCACAAAATCTTATGTTATATTTAAGAAAAGTATAAATAAACTCTAAGTGTTAGTCAATCTATCATTTTACGAATTCTCCAAAACTAATTTCAATGATCCAAACCATTAAAATTGTTTGTATATGCTTGAAGATCACATCAGCAAAAAATCACAAAAAAAAAAACATTCAGAGATCAAGTAATGGGACAAAGTTTTTCAACGGTTATAAACGAAAAATCACGATTTAACGGTTATTTTAACTCCGATTTTGATGATTTTTTATAACTGCACTCCTTGACCCTATATGAATACAATGAATGAATTCGATCTTCAATTTAAAATATTTACACAAGTGGACACCACAAAATCTTATGTTATACTTAATGAAAGTATAAATAAACTCTAAGTGTTAGTCAATCTATCGTTTTACGAATTCTCCAAAACTAATTTCAACGATCCAAACTGTCAAAATTGTTTGTATATGCTTGGAGATCACATCAGCAAAAAATCACAAAAAAAAAACATTCAGAGATCAAGTAACGGGACAAAGCTTTTCAACGGTTATAAACGACAAATCACGATTTAACGGTTATTTTAACTCCAATTTTGATGATTTTTTATAACTACACTCCTTGACCCTATATGAATACAATGAATGAATTCGATCTTCAATTTAAAATATTTACACAAGTGGATACCACAAAATCTTATGTTATACTTAATAAAAGTATGAATAAACTCTAAGTGTTAGTCAATCTATCGTTTTACGAATTCTCCAAAACTAATTTCAACGATCCAAACCATTAAAATTGTTTGTATATGCTTGGAGATCACATCAGCAAAAAATCACAAAAAAAAAAACATTCAGAGATCAAGTAACGGGACAAAGCTTTTCAACGGTTATGAACGAAAAATCACGATTTAACGGTTATTTTAACTCCGATTTTGATGATCTTTTATAACTACACTCCTTGACCCCATATGAATACAATGAATGAATTAGATCTTCAATTTAAAATATTTATACAAGTGGATACCACAAAATCTTATGTTATACTTAATTGAAAATATAAATAAACTCTAAGTGTTAGTCAATCTATCGTTTTACGAATTCTCCAAAACTAATTTCAACGATCCAAACCATCAAAATTGTTTGTATATGCTTGGAGATCACATCAGCAAAAAATCACAAAAAAAAAACATTCAGAGATCAAGTAACGGGACAAAGCTTTTCAACGGTTATAAACGAAAAATCACGATTTAACGGTTATTTTAACTCCGATTTTGATGATTTTTTATAACTACATTCCTTGACCCTATATGAATACAATGAATGAATTCGATCTTCAATTTAAAATATTTACACAAGTGGATACCACAAAATCTTATGTTATACTTAATGAAAGTATAAATAAACTCTAAGTGTTAGTCAATCTATCGTTTTACGAATTCTCCAAAACTAATTTCAACGATCCAAACCGTCAAAATTGTTTGTATATGCTTGGAGATCACATCAGCAAAAAATCACAAAAAAAAAACATTCAGAGATCAAGTAACGGGACAAAGCTTTTCGACGGTAATAAACGAAAAATCAAGATTTAACGGTTATTTTAACTCTGATTTTGATGAATTTTTACAGCTACACTCCTTGACCCTATATGAATACAAAGAATGAATTTGATCTTCAATTTAAAATATTTACACTAGTGGATGTGGATATCACAAAATCTTATGTTATAATTTATATACTTAATAAAAGTATGAATCAACTATAATATTAATAATTATATACATTAATTTAATAATTTTATATCCCTAAAAAGTAAAAACTATAATAATTATATAGATGTAGGTGTAAATTGAATACAATTTCATGATGATCGATGTAAATTGAAGATTTTGTAAATGGAGGTGTAAACTTTTGAGAAAGACTTACAATCTTAAAAACAAAACCTCTTTATCCTTGCACATTTAATATTTGTAATATATTAGTAGTGTATGTATTATTTTTTTTATTAGGCTTTTATTTTCGAGTGTAGATATAGTACTTGAACGAGAAATGTTTTAATGTTTTGAAGTAATATTTATGTGGCAATGTGTGGTATGTGCAAATTTTAAAAAAAAATATTTTTTTCTTAACGGGTCATAATGGGTCATAACGGGTCGTGTCACTTTACCCGTTAAGGACCCGTTAAGATAATGGGTGTGACACGACACGACCCGTTAAGATAACAGGTGTTACACGAAAATGACACGAACACGATAGACACGACCCGTTTGCGAGGCCTAAGTCAAATAGAGCAAGCTTCCTACAATCTGCATATATTCTCCTTCATTTGCGGCTTCACTTCCATCAATCTTCCTTCATTTGCGGCATATATTCTCCTTTTTTTTTTTTGAACAGTTTTTTGAAGAGAAATCTTGACAGTACGAAGTTGAAATTAAACTTAAATAACTAATTTAGTCTTCAAAGTTCCTTGCTAGGCACGGGAGCAGCTGGCTATTTTGGCCCCACAGCTATAGTTTCCATTTTTGTGTTCCCACGTTATCAACTTTTTTCTATGTTAATGGATCTGTTCTTGTTATATATAAATTCGTGTAAATTAAACCTTGGTTTCTTATTTTCTCTGCATTTAGAAAAAAAAAAAAAAAAAAAAAAGAAAAGAAGAAGAAGAAGAAGAAGAAAAAAGAATGGAGCATTCATCACCTAGCACTCATGGCAGACTGATTTTGTTTAATTTCCTTCATGCGTTCATTCTTTTATGGATGAGCACATGTCTGGAATCTGCAACACTAGGCACCACAACTCTTGGAAATGAGACGGATCGCCTGGCGCTTCTCAACTTCAAGAAAAGAATCACTGAAGATCCTCTCCATGTCATGAGCTCGTGGAATGATTCCATCGATTTCTGCAGTTGGGTTGGCGTTACATGCAACCGCGCCACCAAAAGGGTTGTGATTCTGAATCTCATGTCTCAAAAATTGGTAGGCTCCTTACCGCCCTCTATAGGCAATCTTACTCATCTTACTGGAATCAACCTGATGGAGAACAACTTTAGTGGTGAAATTCCTGGAGAAATGGGTCGTCTACGAAGCTTGCAACATCTCAACCTGTCTTACAATTCATTTGGCGGGAAAATTCCAGCAAACATATCTTATTGTACTCAACTTAGAACGCTCCGTCTATCTGTCAATCAGCTTATTGGTTCGATCCCGGACCAGCTCAGTTCTCTGTTGAATTTGAATTTTCTACTGCTTGATGGTAACAATCTCAGTGGAACAATCCCAGGTTGGATAGGAAACTTTTCATCTTTGAGAAGTCTCTTTCTTTCCCGAAATAATTTTCAAGGGAACATACCCATTGAACTGGGGCATCTAACAGTCTTGCAGAATTTCTCGCTTGGGGAGAATAATTTGTCTGGTATGGTCCCTTCTTCTATCTATAACATTTCTTCCCTGTACATTTTCAGTGTTGTTGGCAACCATATGCATGGAGAGTTACCACCAAATGTCGGCGTTACTCTTCCTAATCTCCAAGCATTTTACTGTGGTGCCAACAACTTCACAGGACCTATTCCTGCATCATTCTCAAATGCTTCTGGACTTCAGATCCTCGATTTTGCGATTAATCGTTTCTCTGGACCATTCCCTGCTGAAAATCTTGGAAGCTTGAGGAGCTTGGTTAAAATAAACTTTGGTCGCAATCGACTGGGAAGTGGGGAGAATGGCGACTTGAATTCTATCAGCTTCTTGACTAATTGTACTAAGTTGAAGCTGCTGGGGCTTGACAATAATCAGTTTGGAGGAGAACTGCCGGGATCTATAGCCAATCTTTCCACTCAACTGACTCTTCTTACTTTCGGAAGCAATTTGATATATGGAAGCATCCCCAACGGTCTTGAACATCTTCTGAACTTGACCGGTCTGGGAGTAGAAGATAACTACTTGGGTGGTAGTGTCCCTGATGGCATTGGGAAGCTCCAGAAGTTACAGATACTAGCTTTGGATTACAACCAATTTTCGGGGCCAATCCCGCCCATGCTTGGCAACTTGACTTCAGCTATAACAATCTACATCAACGAGAACAGGTTCAACGGCAAAATACCTCCAAGTCTTGGGAATTGTCAAAATCTCATATTACTTGACCTTTCTAGTAACAATTTAACGGGCACCATACCTAAAGAGATTCTTGGGCTTTCGTCCCTTTCAATCTATTTGGACATGTCTAACAACTTTTTGACAGGTTCACTACCATCTGAAGTGGGTCATTTGGTAAATCTCGCGGAACTAAGTGCATCAGGAAACAAGTTATCAGGTGAAATCCCAATAACCCTTGGTAGTTGTGCTACTTTGCTGGTACTGAATTTGGGTAGTAATGAATTTCAAGGAACAATTCCTCAATCTCTTGAGAATTTAAGAGGCTTGGAAGAAATTGATCTTTCAGGAAATAACTTGTCAGGGCATATTCCTCAATTTCTAGGCAAGTTGACCTTTCTCAAGCATCTCAATCTTTCTCACAACGATTTTGAGGGCGAATTGCCCAAAGAAGGGGTTTTTCTAAATACAAGTGGTCTCTCAATTCTCGGAAATGATAAACTTTGTGGTGGCATCTCGCAATTGCATCTACCTATATGCCTAAAAAAAAAAACTCAATCATCTAGAGGAATACTTGCCCCCAAAGTAATCATTCCTGTAGCTTGTGCACTTGCATTCATATGTACTCTGTCCTGCTTCATTGTTGGTCGTTCAATGCTGAAAAAATCAAAAGCTGTACTTGTAACTTCACCTTCTTATAAGGATTGGAAATCAGTATCTTACTTTGAACTCGTTGAATCAACTAATGGGTTCTCGGTGGATAATCTGATTGGTTCAGGAAGTTTTGGTTCCGTATACAAAGGAGTACTTCCTAGTGATGGAACTATAGTTGCAGTTAAGGTATTAAACCTTCAACAACCAGGAGCTTTCAAGAGTTTCATACAGGAATGCAAAACTTTAAGTAGTATAAAGCACCGTAATCTTCTGAAAATTATAACTGTCTGTTCAAGCATTGACAATCGTGGTAATGACTTCAAAAGTCTAGTTTTCGAGTACATGGTAAATGGAAGTCTAGACATGTGGCTGCATCCAAAAGATAATGAGGAATCTGAAAGTAAGAGGTTAAGCCTTATCCAAAGACTGAATATTGCGATTGATGTTGCTTCTGCATTGGACTATCTCCACCACCATTCCGAAGCTTCAATTGTTCATTGTGATATGAAGCCAAGCAACGTTCTTCTTGATGAAGATGTGGTAGCTCATATTGGTGACTTCGGTTTAGCACGGTTCTTGTTGGAAGCATCGGACAATCCCTCTCAAAGTCAAACCATGTCAGCTGGGTTAAGGGGTTCCATCGGCTACATTCCTCCAGGTACGTAGTTCTAATATTTTCCTTTTATCTTCCTAATATCTTAATAATTGGCAACTTTATTCTGCAAACTTCATAATTAAATCTGAATTTAAACATTTGAGTTTGACATCCAATGGCAGAGTATGGCATGGGAGGCCAAGTCTCGACACTGGGAGATGTGTATAGCTTTGGAGTATTGCTGCTAGAAATGTTCACAGGGAAAAGACCTACGGACGACATGTTTGGAGATCATCTAAGCATTCTCCAATTCACAGCAATGGCAATGCCTGACCATGTCATGGACATAGTTGACCCTTCATTATTGGTCATTGAAAGAGAAGATGCAGATACTACCGATGATGACAGCAACGACAATGACGTACAAGAAAATGAATTACAAAACATCAAGATTGCAGCCTGGTCCAATGAAGAAGCTTGGAGAAATGTTTTGGTTTCAGTGATACAGATTGGACTGTCTTGCACTGCAATATCCCCAGAAGAGCGGATGCATATGAATGTAGTTGTCAACAAAATGAATAGAATACGAGACTCATATCTGAACTTAGAATGAGAAGAAACGGGAGCTGGCAACATACAAAATGAAATGGAATACGAAACTCATATCTAAACTCAATCTATAGGTTCATATTAAGCAAGAATTCATTTGAATAATAGATGTTATATGTATTATTGTGTGTGATAACTTGTAAGCTTGAAATAATATAGCAGAACAAGTGAAGGATTTTTCGTTATCCCCCGCATTTGTTTTGGTTTACTGAAGGGCAACTGATACACTATACTTCTCTGTTTAATATTTTGTTGAAATAGTTTTGTCTCAATATTTCGAGTTGTGGACAGAAGGAGACAAATTTTTTTTTTGTTTTGTTTTGTTTTTTTTTTTTTTTGTGCTCCATTGCTGAAATATCCCCTTTTGGTTTCTGTTTATATCTTAATAGCTTGCTATGATATATCGCATATGCTGGTTTCTCAATCGGGTTGTTAACAGCAACTAAATTAAACTGAATTCAAAATTTTAGAAATTAAATTGGCCATATGTTTGCGCCCTTCATTGTCTTGACTAGAAAGGAACGAAGTTACCAGAAAAATGTAGAAGCCTTGAGTGGTGAATAATTCTTGGGATGAGTTGGGGACTAAGTCGCTCTCTTTAAGACGTTTCGCGGCTCTGTCCAAAGTGTACAAGCAGTTCACAAACACCACATCGTCTTCAGGATAAAACAGCTCAGAACCTTCTTCTGATAAGATTCTTCCTTGCACAGTAGAAGAACCTTCGAACTCACACCCTTCTATGTATTGCTTTATAACTCAATTTAAAAAAAAAAAAAAAAAAACACATACGCTATTGTTTTTTTATTTTTTTTCTTCGAAATAGGGAACCTATATATATGCAAGAATATAAAATATACGTTGCAAGTTTGAGAGATTCAAGGGCTTGAAATCTTAAAGAATCAAAACTGAAGAAAACCAAAACGGTCAAATCAAAACCGTAAATATTCAAACAGAACAAAAAAATGTATAAGAACATAATCTGACCTAATCTTCTTCTCTGTTCAGAGAATGGATCCCATCAATTAATGTGAGAAAGCTATCTCACGTTTCAAAAGTAGTGGAGGAGATTACTCCTCATCAAAAAGTAAGATTAAAGACAATTTAGGTTATATCCCACTCAATATTAGGTAAGACTATTAGGGATATTTCTGTAGCTATATATCCCACTCAATATAGAGAATAGACCTTACTAAGAGAAAAAAAATCTCAACCTAAAAACGCTTCAGAGTGTCATGCTTCTTAGGGATGGACATCGAATAATATTCCAAATTAAAATTAGCAAGACTTGTTATTACCCTTTGAACCTATTTCTTGGGATCTCCAGTCTATAGGTTGGGTTGCTATCACAAATGACTCAATTTTCTACGGGCTTTAGTCCCATCTTTTTCGAGGTTTTCCAAGCCTTTTCTCGTGCTAGTCCTTTCGTCAAAGGATCAGTCAAGTTTTCTTCAGACCATATATGATCCATTCTTACAGCTCCATTAGAGAGATAATCTCTTACAGTGTTGTGCTTACGACGTATTTGTCGCATTTTGCCGTTATAATAACGGTTTTGCACTTTAGCTATTGCCGATGTACTATCACAATGGATCAAAACTATTGGAATCTGTTTCTCCCATAAAGAGGTATCTGACAGTAGGTTTCTCAACCATCTTGCTTCTTCACTTGTTCTAGCTAGCGCTATTAATTTTGACTCCATAGTAGACTATAGGTTTCATAAACTTCCATGACACAGCCCCACCACCAATACTAAAAATATATCCACTAGTGGCTTTAGAGTCATCTAAAAGAGTATTCCAATCAACGTCACTGTAACCTTCTAGGACATCAGGAAACTTCTCATAGTGTAATCTGAAATTCATCATTCTTTTAAGGTATCTCATAAGCCTCTCTATAGCATGCCAATGCTCCAAACTAGGTCTGCTAGTAAACCTGTATAAAACTCCTACGACATAAGATATATCAGGCCTCGTGCAATTAGTAGCATAACGAAGGCTACCAATAATACTCGCATACTCAGATTGTTCAACACTGTCTCCAGTGTTCTTGAACAATTTTACATTAGGATCATAAGGAGTACAAGCTGGTTTACAATCAAAATAATTATACTTTCTTAAAAAAATTTCTATGTAGTGAGATTGATCTAAAGAAAACCCACGTTCGGACCTAGTTATTTTCAAACCAAGTATTACACTAGCTTCACCCAAGTATTTCATATCTAAATTAGCACATAACAAAGATTTGACATTATTCACAACATAAATATTCGAACCAAAAATGAGCAAATCATCCACATATGGGCATATTATAGTGCATATATTATTTTCAGACTTATAATGGATGCATTTGTCACTTTCATTTATTTTAAAACCATTTGAATTAACCAAACTATCAAATTTCGTATGTCATTGTTTAGGAGCCCGTTTCAATCCATAAAGTGACTTATCTAACTTGCAAACTTTATTTTCTTGTCCTGGAATAATAAAACCCTCTGGTTGATCCATATATATTTCTTCCTTTAATTCACCATATTCACCATTTAAGAAAGTTGTTTTAACATCCATTTGGTGCACAACAAGATCATGAATAGATGCTAAAGCAAACAATACACGAATAGTAGTTATTCTAGTCACAGGTGAATAAGTATCAAAGAAATCTATATTTTCTCTTTGTCTATAGCGTTTGGCAACAAGTCGGGCTTTAAAATTTTCAACTGAACCGTTAGGTTTTAATTTTCTTTTAAGAATCCATTTGCAACCTATTGTTTTGCAACCAGGTGGAAGATCCACCAAATGCCAAGTTTGATTTGACTCCAGGGAGTCCATTTCATCATTTATAACTTCTTGCCACAAGTTTGCATCTAAAGAAGTTAAAGCTTCTTGAATTGTATTAGGATCTTCTTGTAAGTTATATACATGAAAATCAGGCCCAAAATCTTTAGCTATTCGAGCTCTTTTACTTTTCCTAGGTTCTAATGCAGATTGACTATGTTCTACAATAGTAGGTTTATAAATTTTAGAAGAATTAGAACCCCCACTATTTCGAAGACTAAAAGGAAATTTATTCTCATAAAAATCAGCATCAAGTGACTCAATTATGACATGGTTTTTCAAATCATAAAATCTTTATGCTTTGCTATTACATGCATAACCAATAAAAACATATTCATATGCTCTACTAGCCAATTTCGATCTTTTTGGATCAGGTTTACGAACATAAGCTAAACAACCCCAAGTTCTGAAATACAACACATTTGGTTTCTTATTTTTCCGTAAGGAGAAATATTTGTTTTTGAGTTAGGGATTCTATTTAACACATAACATACAGTCAACACAATTTCACCCCACCAATAAGAAGCAACTCCAGAACTAAGTAAAGTAGCAACAGTCAATTCACAAATAGTTCGATTTTTTCTTTCCGCTTTACCATTCATTTCAGTAGAATAAGAAGCAGTATTTTCATGTATAATTCCTTGAGATTTAAACAAATTAACAAATTCAGTAGATTCATATTCTTGTCCTCTATCACTACGAAATCTTTTAATCTTACAATTAAATTGATTTTCAACTTCAGTCAAGAAAGTTTTGAACATGTCAATAGCTTCACTTTTATTTTTCATAAGATAGACAAAACAATAATTCGAACAATCATCAATAAAGGTAATAAAATAACGTTTTCCATTTCTAGTTAACACTCTATCAAATTCGCATATATCAGAATGAATTAAGTCAAGTGGTTCAGATTCTCTATTGATAGATTTATGCGAAGTTCTATTGATTTTAACTTGACTACAATATTCACATTTTTAAGAATCATTCAATGATAAGTTAGGTAAAAAACCTAAGTTACTCATGTTCTTAACCAAGCGTTTGTTAACATGACAAAGTCTAGCATGCCAAGTATTAAAAGAAGACAACATGTAAGTAGAAGTAGACATTTCATTAGCATCAACATTCAATTTAAGCATCCCATCAGTAGCATATCTATTTCCCATAAAAACCCCATTTTCAGTGAGAATATACGTATTTGCTCCAATGGTTTGAGTGAATCCAACCTGGTTGAGAAGAAAGCCTGAGACCATATTCTTCCTTATCGCTGGAGCGTGCATCACATCTTTTAGTATCATGGTTTTTCCAGAGGTGAACTTCAACTCCACCTCTCCAATACCAGCAATATCAGTTGAGTGCGAATCACCCAACAGCACCTTCCTTCCCACAGTCACAAAATATGTCTTGAAAAGGGAAAGATCATAGTAAACATGGCGAGAAGCACCAATATCCACCCATCATCCCTCGGATCCATCAACTATGTTGATTTCTGATATCATTGCAATCAGTTGCTCTTCAACAAGATTTGGCTGAGAAATAAAGTTTGCCTTATAATGCATGGCAAATTGAATTCGTCTTAAAATTGTTGAAAACTGAAATAGAAAGGAACGAAGTTAGCCGAAAAATGTAAAAGCCTTGAGTGGTGAATGATTCTTAGGATGAGTCGTAGACTAAGTTACTCTCTTTAAGACGTTTCGCAGCTCTGCCCAAAGTATACAAGTAGTTCACAAACACCAAGTCGTCCCCAGAATAAAACAGCCCAGAACCTTCTTCTGAATTCGTCTTAAAGAATCAAAACTGAAGAAAACCAAAACGGTCAAATCAAAACTGTAAATATTCAGACGGAACGAAAAAAATGTATGAGGACATAATCTAACCTAATCTTCTTCTCTGTTCAGAGAAGGGATCCCATCAATTAATGTGAGAAACCTTTCTCACGTTTCATAAGTAGTGGAGGAAATTAGTCCTCATCAAAAAGTAAGATTAAAGACAATTTGGGTTATATATATATATATATATATATATATATATTTAATGATTGTAATAAACCCAAATATAAAAACCACAACGAACAAAACATAGCAATTAAAATATTTAAATAAAAACATATTCAACAGCAACTAAATTGGCTGCATCTCTCTATACTTACATAATTGTTTGAAACTTTCTTCCCTTTTTTTATATACTTTAAAATAGCTTGAAAGGGAGAGATTTACAATAATCAATGTATAAAACACACGTTAGTCAAAGTATAGAAGTAAAGATGATAGAATAATGATAATCAAATCACAATTATATAAAATCGAAGGCATGAAAATTGCTCTTGTAATATTTTTCTGTCGCCGGGCCATCTGTGTGTAGAGGTTATTGTCGAAACACTGGAATAACACGGAAAAATAGTCATGTTCAAGCACATCTTGAATGCGAGGAAAAGTTCC